TAAAAAATATATATTTTTGTTGTTCTCCTTAATATATATATATATATATAAGAATAGTCTTTAATCAAGCACTTAAGAGTTATGCCTCACCAGTCAGCACATTTAATATTAACCATTAAATTTGAATTCAACAGCTCTGATTTAAAGTCAATGAACCCAATTGTTTTCATACAAGGTCAAGGATAAGCTCTTTGTGTAGGCAAAACTGTCATGAAAGAATAAAATAATAAAAAGGAGTAAATAAAAGACAAAATATTAAATTAACGCTTGTACATCAAAAGGCATCAACAAATTGTATTATTTTGTTTACGATGTACTCAGGTGCAGCTTAGTCACCAAATTATTTATAGTACGAACCTGATTATGTGGCCAATTTCACAACTATGTTGTGAGTCTCCAATTATACCACTTTAATTAGACTATGTTCTTGATCACGGGGCCTATTTACTGTTTTTACATGTGCTCGCTATAACTTACCAGCATCTCAAACATTACAAGGCCTCATTCACTTTGTGAATTCGAGACCTCGTTCACTTCGCGGATTTAAATTTTTAATTCGAGCTGAGATATGATATTTTTTTAGAGTTTTTCACTGTAACAGAAAAAGTTAAATGTGATATTTTTTGAGAATTTTTTACTGTAAAAACTTAAAATTGAAAACTCAAATCGGTGAAATGAACGTGACATAAATCTTTATACAAGTTGTATTACTTTTCTGCCCTGCGCCGAATAAGATAAAAATTTCTTATCTAACACCATCCTGTCACCTTCTCCGGTTGTACTTAACTCTCAAAAAAAAAAAATATTGCGTAAACATATATAATATTTGTAGGCTGATGGAGACTTGGCCTATATGTATGAATATATAAACATTGTTTTAACATCAAATCATGGTGAAATCAACTTAAAATTAATTAAAAATTATATGAATATACCGAGAAAGGAAAAGGACAATTTTATTTACACCCTATATTTTTTATAAGAGTTTTTCTTATGCACCTTTTTTTTAGCCTACCGACGGATCATGAAAAATGTAAGGATTGTCTTTTATAATAAAATTTAAAAAAAATTATAATTTTATTTAAGTTCACATTTTTTTACGTTTTAATTTTATTTAATTTTATTTAAATTATAATTTTAACATAAATTATAACTCAAATTTAATTTAAAAATTATATTTAAGTCACACTATAAAAGAATAGGCCGTTTAATTTTTGTTTTTCTTGACTTTCGATTTGAACTTCAGCGTTTCTACAATTTCTCCCATAGTAGATTTTTTTTTTTTCAAAGAAAACTATTATCACTCTTCCCTTCTTTTTGTTCCTCCGTAAATTAACTGTGGGGCCCACATCA